TAACATCTAACCGAAGTAATGAAGCGAGTTGCTCCGAAGATGCAACGCATCAACTCAATTGCTGCGAGGTGTATGCGTTCACCTCCTCATCTCGTATATTGCATACGAGTATGTACATATGTGTTTATGGGATGTACGTGGATGCAGTCAGTACTGATCTTTGCCTGCCCAACACAACACGTATACAGTAGCTCGGCTCGCTTTAATTTTATGGACACGTTGGAAACGTATTATTACTGTTAAGAAAAGAAATGCCAATGTGTCTTAAGGATGCCAAGTGACTAACTTGTATGCATGTCGTTGGTATAAATACATACCTACATACATATGAACGTTTGAACGCATGGTATTTATGTGCTGTGCTGCTCTTGTTTTGCGCTTCCGTCGAGTAATTGAAGTGAAAAGAAGTTGAAGAAGAGGAAGAGTCAAGAATATTCGCCAATATTTACGACTGATTGTAGTAAGTGGCATTGTGGTTGTTGCTACAGTTAAAGCAACAACATATTTTTAATAGACGCATGCTTCATTAACATATATTTACATGCATACATATCCTAGTCTATCCGTAACCGAAATCTCTATCTGTTTTTTTTTCGAAAGTTCTTTAATGTCGAAGCAGATAGTGTTCAAATATTTCTCCTAGCTCCGCCTCTATATTTTCCAATAAGTGAAGGATTCTAAAATTTTATGAATTCCGTATGGCTGGTCGACACTTATGGAAGAATTTTTTGATTATAAAAACCTCGAAGGTTTGATATTGCCTGTCGGGAAGCAACGCCTGGATTTAAAATCCAAATTTGTTCGAGATGAAAGTGACAACACATCAATGGTTTCCGAAGATCAAATATACACTCAAGACCTAATTTGACCCGACTGGTTGCAGAATTATTTTGGGAAGTATGCTCACAAACCTAAGTTTTTGAGTGGCATAAAGCATTCAATGACGGTCGTGAGATCATCGAAAACTTACCTCAAGCATGTCGTCCATCCAGCTCTGTTAATGACGATAACATCAGAAAAAGTTAAATAAACAATGCTTGAAAACCATCATGTTGGCATATGAGAGATAACAGATCAATCACTGACTTTTTGACCAAACACGATACGAGACTCATCGCTCAGCCACCATATTTGGCAGGTTTGGCGCTTTGTGTCTTTTTTCTGTTTTCGAAACCGTAGAATCCGCTTCGTGAAACAAGCTATGAGTCCATCGACTCAATATACAAAAACCGCTACATGAACATTAAAAAAGGTTGCATCAATCTAGGAAAAAAACATTCAACTAGAAACAACATCGGTCAACTAAGCAATAATAAGCGATTCGTCGAATGTAATGAATTTTTTTTCAATCTCAACGAACAGATTTCTGTGATTTTAGTATGAGCACTAAGAAACTATTCCGGGTCGATCCGAGTTTTTTCGTATTGCAGATGTCATTCTATCTAGCCTTTAAGCTTGAAAATTTGGCGTTGCCTTATGATAAATTCAAACCATAGCAGCTGTCAATTGTGTTGGTTTGTTCATCGTCGATTTCATTTGAAAGTATTTTTGTGGTACGTCACTTACCCTGGAATTATGTGAGGTGACTACACATGACACCCAAGACTCCTTTCTTTTTGCGTTTTTATTAGCTTCTTTGCTTGCGTGTCTTTAGCACCCTGTTTCCCAATAATATTTTATTAATTGTGTCTTTGCATAACCTGAGTTCCAAGCAGACCTTAATTGACGGTTAAGCTCAAAAAATTACCTATCAAAGATATAAGATTCCTCATGATTGATACTCGATACTCTCTTTCTACTATCGCTCACTTTTGGAATTTAATTTACATATATTTTATAAGAAAGTGAAACAGTGCTTCATAACCTGACATTTTGTTGCACCAATCGCATTAATTTTTCAAAAATTGAGCATCTTTGGGGTTTCGGGAAGTGAAATCTCAGTCGGCAATAACAACAGTTCACTTTTTTATTCGTCTAGTCTAATCAAACCAATTTTTCAACTCTCAACTTTCATGACATTTTGGGAATTCTAATTGCTATGTCAAGTGAATGAGAGAGGGGGAGATCGAGAACTTTTCCTTTCGGGCCCGGAGTTCTCAAGAGAACCCGGTGCTCTGCAGCAATTGTTTGCAGATTTTTTATACCAACATTTCACTGCAATCATTAACGGACCTTGGTTTTCTCTCTACGGCCGTGTACATGGCTTAATTTTCTCACTAAGCCTCTGATAATTAAATAACTAAAATATGAAACTTTTGTATGTTCTACGCACTCTTCGCAAATCTTGCATCAAACTTAATTTGGACGTATATTAAAAATTAAGGATCAGCTTTTCCAAGATAAGATAAGCAGATAAATTTGTATACTTATAAATCCGAAATGAGAGTCGAATACATTTTTTATTACAACTTCTGAGCTTTATCGGCAATTTCCTTATACATATTATACAACTTGATTCATTAAATAATACCTTAATACATACATACATACGAACGCACGAGCATAAAGGAATAAACAAAAGCACACTTTATAAAAATATAATTATGATTTTAATAGGCGGCAATCGATCTACAATCTATGCTGCAGTGTGAATATTAAGTAGTCGCCAAACCTGCCCATTTGTCAATCGGTAGCGTTCGTCGCTCTTCGACTCTCATCGCACCAATACAAACAACTAACTGGCAATTGGCAGCTGGCAGCAATATGGTTTCATAACGAAACGAACAGTGCGTTGTCTACCCGCTAAAGCCAGGCCATGATTAAGAACATCACAGAACTCGACTTGGCTTGTCGTCTCAGCTATACGCTGCTCAAGTTGGCGCAAACCAGCCAGGTTCAGTTTATTTCAACTCTGCAGCTTGCAACTTGCTGCCAAACGCACTTTGCGCGCTGTCCGTTTGCCGCTGGCTAAAATTTAGATTTTTATATCATATATGCATGTACACACACATACTTGCATACATACAGATGTACACGTACTAGCAGTCGTAAAGACGTATCAGTACCTCGAGAGCTTATTGCTTTTTATACCCCATGTAGATATGTACATACATACGTAGTTTCATGGGTGCATATGGGTGCAGTTAGTTGTGTATGTAGGTAATTGTGTGCGGTATATCCATACTTCAGTAGCAGCAGGCAGATCGTTCGGACATTTGGCCGGACGATCGGCCGGCCGGTCGGTCGTTTAGTCGGTAGAATGAAGAACACGTTCCCGCTATTGATACGAATTGTGAGCAAATGCTTTCGAATATTAAAGAGGATGCAGCAAACGTGCGGCGTTGCGGCCATGGCCAACGATTAAGCTGCACTTTCGTATACGTGTGCGTTGGTATGTGTAGTGCCGAAAGTGGTAGCCAAGCGCCATAAAATGCTGTCGACAGTCCAGATGCTTCATCGCCGCAAGGAGTGCAATTTTGTTGGAAGCATTTCACTGACACAATACTAACACTGTATTTATTTTGCTATTACCGAAGTTAATACACATTACACTCGGCATGACACTTCCCTACTACTGGTACTAGCTAACTCTGTATATGCATGTATATCCATATGTATGGAACGAGACTAGTATGAATTATAGCTGTGAGTTGGGCGCGAGGCAAATGTAAAATCAAATGCTCGCTAAAATGAGGAATTGAAAGTATCGGTGTTGTCTATATAAACATTTGTATGTGCATAAATATGCATATGTACTTGTATGTATGTATATTGATATTATTAGTGTTATTAAGTTGGTGCGTCCTTTTAACGACTTTCAGAAGCTGTAAAATGTATATATAAACTGTAGGATAGATAGTAGATGTTAATGAATTGAATGTTCGTTAGCGAATAAAACCCGATTAAACGCAATTAGATTAAAAAATTCGACCCAGATCCTTTAGTTGGCAGTGAAACATATTGTCTCAATAACCTGTTGGGTCCAATAGGGCGTGTTGGAGTCTCGAAACCTTAGCGATGAATACAAAAATATATTTTTCTTCTCCACTTGTGGACGAATTTACAATTTTCTGACATAAGATCAATTCTGCAATGTAGAATATATTTCATCTGATCAAAATTGACACGTACTGAGAAAAGAAACCAATATTTTAACGTATTTTAAGAGTAAACATCTTTATTATCGCTTTAAAAATAGGCTTCTGAGCCAATACAAGCATGTCAACGCCAAATTCAATTTTCCATACACTTGTTATAAGCCTCCGGTGAGATAGTCTTCAGTGCCTTTATCGAATTTTGGTTTTTCCGGTTTCCGTTAATTTTTGGGTTTTGGATTGCCATTTGCTACATTGTTAGATAGTTTCGAGATCATATTCATAAACCCATGTCCCGTCAGCAGTAATGAGGCGTTTAATAAATGTAGGTTCCTCATCTACGTTGTCAAACATCTTCGCAAACGTTATTCGACGTCGTTTTTGCAATGTTTCAGGTCTTTTAGTTCGAATCTAGTATTGACACGCTTCATACCCCAAACATCAACCAAAATGAGTTGCGACATTAACAGAGGTGGATGGACAACTCGTATGAGGCAAGTTGTTGATGGCTTCATAACCTTCACTTATTGCTTTGTGCCACACAACTATTTGTTTTAGTGATAAAGTAGAATACCCAAAACGCTTTTGCAACATTTTCAACGATTCCGTAGCCGTGATTCCATTGGAAACATAAAATTACAAGTAAACTTGTTGTTCAGTTTTTTTCCATAGTGAAAATCGCAAGAGAAACTTTTTGCCAAACACACATTAATTGACCTACGGAGATCAATACAAATTAAAATTTTTTAAATTATTATTTTTCCCTAAAACTTTCTCGAAGGAATTGAGTTTAATTTATCTTGTATATTCAATGCGAATAAATATGATTCAGTCTGATTGAGCTACCTAAGCATAATCCTAATCTGGTTCAACGAAACCGGAACTAACTTGAATCTATATCCGGTCATGAGCTTCTACCGAAGCAGTATTAACAGTATTAACAAAAAGTATTTGCGATCTTTTCAGCACTACGGTACCTTAACTTACGACTTGAATGTGAGATCGCTACTGTATTGTAATTGTAGCGCAGATTTAAAACTAAATTGAAAATGGCATCCCTAACCGATACTTATCATGCGATAACAGGACCGATTATAACTTTTCGGTTCGGTTCATCGCTAAAAAGCACCAAAAACATTCCAATTTGCAAGTGAAAACAAATATTGTTATTCAAAACATGAAGGAGAAAATGAGGCGCAATTTTTGGATTTCCTCGGAAATCGAGTGCATGTTAAATTTGCTACGTGAAGTTTATAAAATACAAGGCACCACCGCAACAACAAATTACACATTCATACAAATTGCTAACAAGATGAGGAAGAAAGGATTTCCCAACAAGTCGGCAACACAAATTCGACGAAAATGGTTTCAAATGAAGTCGGCTTATTTATGCTACAAACGTGGTAATGTTGAGAGGTCAGTGCAATATGTTAAAAGAATTGTGGGTTCGCTAATTTTATAAAAAGAATTTGTTGGATAAACAAATCACTATCTACATGTGTACATAGATAATTCGGTATTATGTTGCCAGATTTAAAACTTTAGAACGAATTAAATGTGCCATGAAAACTTTTAAAATCAAATTTTTTAGGTTGCTCTTGATACCTGAGAAATTTCGTCCTATAATAGCCCAATTCGTGGATAAGGATATTAAACCGAATTACCGGGAGCTATCGCCAACTCCGGAACCTGCGCCACCACCACAACGGACACCATCGCCTCCACCGTTGCCAACAACTACGCAAAAACCTATAATTACATATAGTAGATTGAGAGACACATCCAATTCCAGAAGTATGAGCATACATATTTTAAATTATATGTTCGATAATTACTTGCATTAAAATTTTTAGATGGTGCAAAAAGCGTTGACAGTGAACTGAGATATGATGACTTTTTCTCCGAAATAAAGCAGACCCATAAAATTATTAACAGTACCTTTTCGAATATGCAAAAAATTTTAATGGATTTCGAACATGAGTGTCAAGCTGAGAGAGATGCTAAGCTTATAACATTTATAAACAGTATGAAATATGATTTTTGAAGAAAAATTAAATTTTACATTTAGAAATATATATTGTGTTTCCTTTACCTTCAGTTGGAGCATAGGCTAATAGTCAAATCTAAATAAATTTTTGAGGCGGATTTTCGAGAATGTTTGATATTTATTATATTTTTTTTAATTTAAAAATGACATTTTAGCTCAAATTCTCAAAGTAAATTTTGGTTTTAGTACACAGCAGATAAAGTTTTAGAACAGTTTTGTTAAGATATGGCAACAATCTTTCGTTGTGTTATCTTGGCAACCCAATTTGGTATTATTATTTTTCTGCTCAGAATAAACAAGAATTAAGGAATATAGTAAATATTAACTATTGTTATTTAAAAATTATCAAAAATTATGTCCTACGTTTATTTGGTGCCGGTGGCCGTTTTTCTGTTATTCCAAATTACCTTTCTCGGAACGTAAGTAAAGTTTTGGAAATATTTTATAATGCAAGTGCGTTATACTTTTTTGTTAGGTATTTCTAACAGTAAGCTAAACACAATGAATGCGTTAAACATAAAATTAAATATGTATATTTTTGAGTGATTCATTTGTAATCACATAATATTTTCATTATAAGTTCGAAATGCAAGTAAACCACAAATTATCTCGCCCAGTACTTGTGTCCTTATCTATTTGCCAGCTTGCAAGTCTTCGATGCATAATGCTTGCATAAATTTATCTGCTTTTTTATTGTAGTTATATTGCCGCCGTACTTCAGGGTCATGTAGTGCCCACAGTGCCGTATATCAGTGACGATGGCACATACTCTCCAGAAAGCTGCGTATTTGGACAGCTTATAAATATTGGTAGTGTGCTATGTAAGTAGAAGATCGCTTAAGTTGATTAGAAATTAGTCATTTCACAATGTAACATACATTTATATACATATGTGATTTTTTTAGTGGGCATCACTATTTACATACGTTATCGACAAATTCAACAACTTTACAGTCATCATCCCGACTTGGGATCCTTACTTTTGCGTTACAATAAGATAGCCGTCTGGTTTGGTATGGCTTCTTGTTTAGGTATAAGTATTGTTGGTAATTTCCAAGAAACAAATGTACGCATTGTTCACTTCACCGGAGCATTTTGTTGTTTCGGTTGTGGTACGGTGTACTTTTGGTTGCAAGCGTTAATTACCTATTTGGTGTATCCCATTGCGGGTTCAAAATTGTATGCACACATACGTCTGGGAATGGCTATCGCCTGTACAATACTTTTCATTATGATTGCCATTACTGGTGTTATGTCACATATTCTATTTAAAGGCGACAATCCAAGACAATGGTAAAATAAAACAGTTATATTAATTAAAATTTTACTAACGAACTGAATATTTTTTTACTTAGGTATCCCTCGGATGGTGGCTGGTACTTCCATGTAGTTAGTTCAATATCCGAATGGATTATGGCTACTATATTCAGCTTTTATATCCTAACTTTTACGGACGAATTTCGAGATGTCCGTCTAGAACATCCAGAACTGACGTTCATCTCCTATTCCATAACTTTATAAAAATATTAAATATTATGTGCTATGTATATTTTTTATTTTTTAAATACCCAACAACGGCGTATGTATGCAGTTGTTATACATATATGTTTCCAAAGATCTAATAGTGCTGTGATAGGTTATTATTTTTTCCTGCATTGAAATATTACACAGCACATATAATTTATCAAAAGTTGAACAATTTTTCCGCAACGTATTACATTTTTGGGTGTTTAATACAGTTAATTGAATTTATTTTGAAATCACGTTTCAACATTCTGCAATTTTTAATCGTAATATGAATATTAAATATTGTTCGGAAAATGCTATTTATTATTGGCAGAAATTTTCTATAAAGAGTAATAAAAATATTTACCTATGAAATTACATTTTCAACGAAAAGAGTTTATATTTTTTTTTGTTATTTTTTACAAATTTTTTTTTTTCTATAAGTTATTAGTAAGTTTCAATTATGATTGGATTTTTCTTATGTTCCTATGTTGGAATTAATATACATATTGATATATATACATACATCCATCTCTGTTTAAAATAAATTTTTTGCATTTATGCAAATTAAATTATACATATACCAATTATATACAGAATTACATGAAATAAACTGCTTTATTCAATGAAGAATTTTTCTACAATTTTTTTTATTTTGTTACTTTTTTTTATTAATTCTTTTAGAATTTCATTGTCAACAAAAATCTTTTAGTTACAAAATATTAGTAACTGAGCTAAAAATTTACATTTTTTATTCATACATTATTTAGTTTATTTCATTTTTGGTATTTCTTATTACACTATTATTCTTTAAAATATACTTTAATTTTACAGCATTTATAACTATTAAATATTTTGTTATTTAACGTATTTCCTTATATTGTTATAATGTTTTTTAATGTAAAGCGAATTGCTTTTGATAACTGATCAATGTAGCATCGGTATGACTTTGTGATGAATGCTCATCTTTGATCATCAAATCGGGAACTATGTGGAAGTAATAAAATAAATTATAGTATGCATTTATTTAAGAGTATAATGTGTAAATTTTTAGCACTAAAGAAAATACAATTCATACTTGTATTCCAAATGGGACATGGGCATGGGTCCATCATTTTAATGCCTTCGGTGGAGCCGCCTTCTGAAAAATAAAAATGTGGATAAGTTCGAATATTTTTAATGAGAATGGATCTAATATCTCTTAAACAATGATAACTGGCGATAGTCAGGTCTAAAAAACTGAAATGAAACCAAGATTTATATCTGGTCAAGGACCATCATTATTATGAAATAATCAAATTAATTAGTTTGTTTCTGCCGCTAAAAAAACAACATTGCGAGAGTGGTTTCAATTTTTTAATACTCACAAATCGTAAGAACTGAATGAAAATAAAATATTTTGACAAGTCTGCAAAAATTCGTACCAAACGTGTAATGAAGCGTTAAGTTCGGGTGCAACCGAATATTTGCTGCTCACAATTCAAAGATCAAAGCCGGCGGCATTCTTCTGTTGTTGGCACAGCTTTATATTGAGAAATATTTTGAAAGAATTCAATATTCAATATTGTTGAGTTGATCGTCCACCAATAAATTGCAATCATATTTGGTTTGTATTTCATATATTGATTGATACATCATATTTGATAACCTAAACTTCAGGTCATATAACCACATTGTAAGATATATTTATAATAATATGATATTAGGGGATAGGGTAATGCCCGTTTACATTCTCATATTCAGTTAGTGGTTAAGAAAACACTTTATTTCATTAAAACATCGCATATATTGACCTAAAAAAATTAAAATCGACTGGACGTCGGAAATTACTATATATGTGCGGGCTAGAAGAAGCATTGACCCGATTATAACCATTTTCGGCACAAGCTCAGATAATTGTCTTAAAAAAGCGCTCCTTGATTCGTTTTTCTCAGTTTTGACACAAGGACACACAATTATCAGAAAAAGATTCTCTAAATATTTCCATGATACTATATTTCACAAATTGATCGATATTTTTTGTTTTTACCTAAAGGTATCCCATTTTCCTATTTTGATAGATAGATAGATAAATTAATTTTGAGGTATGCACCGCGACTTAAGGTCTATTGTGCCCTCCCCTAAGTCATAACGACTCATCAAGCCCCAGCATGTTCCTATTTTGATACCGGTTCTACCGTTCGAGATATATATACATTAAACCTATTAAAAGACCTGGCCTCGCTTACTTTTTGAAGATTTTAAGACCTATACCAAACAGGTTTGTATCTTAGTTATAGCACACCGTCTGCAATACCAACATCCATTTCGATGCCAAGGAACACGTGCACCAAGTTTCATCATGATATCATAATTTTTTCTCAAGTTATCTCTTGTACAGACAGACAGACAGTCACAAGGATTTCAACTCGCTTCGTCATCCTAATAATTTATATTTAAGATCTATCTCGATTAGTTATATGAGTATTAGGCGAACAAAACTATTGTAGTCTGTAGCAACATGTTGCGTTTTGTTGCCAAATGAAAATTTGGCGTCAAAAATTTGTATTCATCAAAACACGTAATTAAGTATCTAAATATGTATATCAATATATTTGTCCCAAACATATCAGGAAAAAGTATAGACCGGTTTAACCTATTTTTGGTACCAAACAAAATAGCGCTACGAGTAACGCTATATATCACATATTAAGCTATATAGGTATACGAAATCAAATGAATTGAAGCAACGGAGCTGTTTATATTTGAACTTTATGGGAAGATAGGGAAATTTTACCTATTCCTGTACTAACAAACAATATGCTAAGGATAATATTAGGGCACAAGAGAACATAGGTCGCGGTGCATACCTCTATCCTTATCTAAGGATAATATTATCATTTAATTGGATTAATAAATCTGTAATGCTGATAGAATGCATATAGAATAGAAGTCAACCTGACTGGCAGTGATCTAAATAAACGATAATATGGAAAATATAGAAAATAGGAATGGTTTCCACCCATCATTTGACTAAATGCGATCGAACATATTTAGAAATGTGAAAGTTGTATTAGGTTTTTGGGCTGCTGATACATAAGTAGTGTTGTGTAGTGATAAGACTTCAGAGTATAATATTTCAATCCCTATTCCCATCGACCTCAAAAAATGTTTTTGGAATAGAGGACCCCTCGTAAAGCAATGCCAAGCGTCTTTTTCCATGAAACAGCTACCTAATCGATGAAAAAATTTGACGAAGGCCAAATATATATTATATATTAATAAAATATATTAGGTAAAGTAAAAAGTTCGTTCGGTTTTTAGCTAAGAGATGGCGTTATTGTCTATAGTATTAGTGTTACGTGTCGCATCATGTCATACTATACGGCGCTGAAAACGTGTTTATTCGCGCTAAAAGTTTGTCTTTGACAGTTTTTCGATTGATATATTCAGTTTGTTGTGAGCGCTCGTCAAAGATGGACACCAACAAAGAGAAAATTGGCTATATTTCACAATTTTTCTTCGATCAAAGCGAAAAAGCAGCCAAAGCGGCTGAAAACATTAATTTAGTTTATGGGCCCGATACTGCAAACGAACGTGTAGCACAATAGTGATGTGCTAGGTTCCGTTCCGGTAATTTCGATGTCAAAGATGCACCACGCGTCGGGAGGCCTGTCGTCGAAAATTGCGATAAAATCATGGAAATAGTGGAAACAGACCGTCACGTGAGCACTCATTTAATTGCTGAGGAACTAAAGATAAGCCAGAAAACCGTTTGGAACCATTTGCATAACCTTGGATTCAAAAAGAAGCTCAATGTTTGGGTGTCACACGAACTAACGCAAAAAATATGATGGACCGAATTTCCATCTGCAAATCGCTGGAGAATCGCAACAAAATCGACCCGTTTCTGAAGCGGACTGTGACTGGCGATGAAAAATGGGTCACTTATGACAACATCGAGCGAAAACCGTCGTGGTCAAAGCTCGGGGAAGCGGCCAAGATGGTGGCCATGACCTGATTGACGGCCAGCTGTGTGTTTGCTGGGATGGGCAAGGAATCATTTACTGCGAGCTGCTCCCCTATGGCCAAACGCTCAATTCGGCCCTCTACTTCCAACAACTGGACCGCTTGAAGGCAACACTCATCCAGAAGAGGCCATCTTTGATCAACAGAGGCCGAATTGTGTTCCATCAGGACAACGCCAGGCCACACACGTCTTTGGTGACTCGCCAGAAGCACCTGGAGCTCGGATGGAAGGTTCTAATGCACCCACCTTATAGTCCGGACCTGGCACCAAGTGATTACCATCTTTTCCTGTCCATGGCTAACGCGCTTAATGGTGAGAAGTTGGCCTCAAGAGAGGCCTGTGAAAATTGGCTCTCCGAGTTTTTTGGCAATAGGGACGCAGTCTTCAACGAGAGGGGTATAATGAAGTTGGCATCTCGTTGGCAACAAGTTTACGAACAAAACTTATTTGACTTAAATCGGACAAATGTACTCAAAGTTATCATCTTTTGAAAAATCAATAAAAAAAACCGAACGAACTTTATATATACATATAAAGGTTCAATAAGTCATTCTTTTCGCGAAATTTTAAACCTAACTTTGCTCCGATTAGTCTAAACTGAAAAAATTACCTATTTACTACATACCTTGCTGGATAATGCTGTTGTAGTTGTTCGCACCCAGTAATGGTGGAGAAAAACTAGCCTATCGAATAAAAATTAGAAAATTAGAAAAAACTGCGTTATCAATTCTTAATCGACAGGAAACTTACTGCTGAGTTATTCGGATAGCTACTTCTCACTGCAGATGGACCATAACCGGCAAATGACTGCGTGGGTATCCATTGAGTACTGAAAATATATATTTTTTATTATTTGAGAATTTCATTGATAAGCCGCCAAATTACTTTGTGTTGTATCTATAGTATGTTTGGCAAGGTGTGTGATTGAAAATCATTTTCGAGGGGCAGGTGTCAGTCATTAATTTAGGAAAATGTCCCACCGCACGATAAGGTCGCTTCATGCGTCTTCTCCGCCGATAATTGCCATTTTCGAACATATTCTCATATTGTGTATCTAACGACCAATAGTTTCCTTTCCGTTCACCTGTACCCTCGCGTGGTACCTTTATGAAACACTCATTCAAACTTAAATTGTGTCGTATTGAATTCTGCCAACCTTTCTTATTTTTTTCGAAATATGGAAAATGTGATGTGATGTAGCTGTAAATCTCATTGAGTGTAGCGCGCTTTAATGGTGAGTTCTAAAAATTAGAAATTGTGTTATGTCCAGTTTGTTTATTTGCCATTTTAATTGTTTGTGTTTAATTGCCTGAAACTAGGCTACATAAATATTATTTTTTTTGTTCAAGCTCATACCTGTATAGCCATGGCAATGAGCGCAACATAACTGTAAGGCGGTTTGGAGCTGTTAATATCTGTTATTTCTGTGTTAAGCCTGTTGATAGACAAATATAATCAATAATAATTTATTTGTGGTATTATAATTTTATTATGGTATTAATAATTTTATTTAAACATTAGCTTACTTCTCTTTGGTTGTTTCCGTGGCATATTTTAGTTCTGCACAGGAGTTTTCCGGTGATGTCCGAATAATTGAGTTATGCATGTTATTAATTAGGTAATCCTAAAACTAAAAAAAAATTGTATTGTATATTCAAAGGTTATGTTTTAATAATTATTATATATAAATTTGTTTAGGTGTGTCACTTATTCACTAAGAATAATTTCTTTTTATTGTTTTGCATCGTTGTAAAGTTTTGAAATATTCTAAAAATAGTTTTGGAGGGGTGCCTCGAGTTAACAGTCCTTTGTCACTTTTAAATTCTGTTTCACTCCGCTAAAATAAGCCTGAAAAATGTCTATGCCAACTGTTCTTTGGTCTCAGAATGTAGAATGCAGCTATTTTCCTCAAATCAACCATGAACGCCGAAAACTTATGTATATTTTCCAATCTAGTTGCCGTGTTTAATTTGATCATTCTTCTTACAGATGTATGGGGTGTGCAGCGCAGTGCAGTGTTCCAATCCTTACTAAATATAAAAATAAGAAAAAACGTTAACTTCGGTTGCGTTGAAGTTATAAAACCCTTCACAAATAAAAAAAGTTCCATACAAAAAGAAGATTTTGTTCAGTCATTTATATGGTGTGGTAGTCCGATCTGAACAATTTGTTTGGAGCTTATACCGTTGCCTTGGACAATAATCCATGCCAAATTGTGTGACGATATTTTGTCAAATAAAAAGTTCTCAATACAAGAACTCGATTTTAATCGGTCAGTTCGTATGGCAACTATATGCCTTGGTGGTCCGATATTAGCGATTCCGACAAATGAGCAGATAGATGCACGCTGAGTTTCTTGGCGAGAAATGGATGTGCACAAAATTTCAGGTCGATATCTCAAAAACTGAGGAACTAGTTCGCGTTTAAACAAATAGACGAACAAAATCGACTCAACTCATCACACTGATCATTTATCTACATATATATATTTGATATGATCTCCAAAGTTGTCTTAGTTTTGTTAGAAATGGCAAACTTAATATTCTCTGTTAAGATTATAATGAAATAATGTTCTCGTCAGGTATTCTTTTGAGATTTTTTATCTGTTTGAAAAAACGAAAATCTGTTCTACTCGTACAGAACAGTTCACTAAGTTGAAAGAATGAATAAAATATCTAAGTGAGCAAGGCTTTCGCATTCGAAGTTTTCATTAAATCTATAGAAAATGGGATTAATGCAGGCCCTGTGGCTCTGCTCGCAATATAAGTACTTAAATAGGAGCCACTAGAATTTTCTATTAATTTAGATGTTGTTTAGTTAGACCTAAAGTATATCATTTTCAATGGCTAGTTGAATATTATCCGGGTACTAAGTCAGGTCAAAGTTATCAAAGGCACTTGTTGAAATTATCGTTTAAAATATTTAAGATTTGCAAAAGCTCTGTGCAAACTGCTTTCAAACGACAAATTCTCCATTCATGGCAAATGATGACAAATTCTTCGAGTTGCTTACGAGTCCAACAAATTCTCTGGATTAAACACTCTGTAAAGTTTTCTTATTCTAAAAATCAAAAGAATGATCGCTCTAAAGAAGGCGCCGAGACTCATGACTATTTTGCAGCAAAATATCAATCGTGATACAAATATGGCATCGAAATTTAGACGCTCCCGATATTCGATACATCGCCATCTGTAGCACCTACATATGTTGAATTTTATCCAATTTTGGCAAAAATGTGAACATTTCAGTCTGACAGTTACATATTAAATAATTTTTAAACAAATAAAACTCTTATAATTAGTGCAATAAAATTTAAAATAATTTTTCTTTTACATTTACTTTTTTAAATTCTTGTTATAAAAAAATAATATTTTTTGAGTTCAAAATTAGAAGTTTTTTGTAAAATTTTGTTAAAAAGGGAAGACACATATTTACTTTTATTGTTTTAAAGTAATATAAATTGTAATTAATTAAAAGTAAATTCTAATGTATTGTGTTTTTTCAGGATTCTCAAAAATATATTACACTTGTCCACATTTTTTATACTCTCGCAACAAATTGCACAGATTATGACAAATTGAGTAAAAATTCAGATAAATGAATAAAAATGATATATCATAATGAAACTTGGTACACATATTCCTTGGCACTATTTGAGTTGGTATTGTAGATGGGCTCATAAATGCCATTAAACGAAAATCTATAAAGTGTAAGTAACTAAGCACTAAATTATGATACAAAACAGTTGTTTGCTGCAGGGGATCACTGTGGTGAGGGGCACTTGTGGGCTTAACATTTTTTTAAAGTAGGCGTGGTCCCGCCCTCTAAATGGTTAAATGTACATATCTTACAAACCACTGAAGCTTTCTCTACCAAATTTGCTGGAAAGAAGTATATTTAGCATTTCTTTATACACTGTGAATGGGGTGGGTCAGATAATAACCACCCACTCCCCATAAAACGGTTATGTTGAAAATGACTAAAAGTGCTAAAGCACTCACTGAATAAAAGAGCCACAAGCACTAAATTTCACAGCCAGGATGGCAGAGAAGGGCGTGACACCGCCCACTTTTAGGTGAAATCCTATATCTCGGGAACTACTTAACTAATTTCAACCGAATTTGGTGTGTAAGGTTATCCTATTATTATTATCGCACACTATGTGTAATTGGTTGACAACCACGACACGTTATGTGGAAACAAATTTTCAAATTCCAACTTATTCTTTAACCTTACAGTATACAAATCAAGCATCAATGAAGTTATTAGACTTAAACTTTGCACAAATAGTGTTCTCAAGGTATTTAATCCAACGCCCGAAAAATTGTTGAAATCGGACTACTATAACTTTTCAAGCATCCAGACACCAAATATGGGAACACCAGTGGATATGGCTGATTTTTTTTTACCGAACATATCGGTCACTCTATTAATTATTGTATTGAAATACGGAGAAATTTTTTTTTTATGATAATATAATAAAATAACCTTGTGCCAAAAATGCGTAAAATTGGGTCAATACATAATAAATAAATTTGCGAGCTTCCGGTTGGCTTTATGCCGCATCTATCGGTCAATATGTAAGAAATCTTAATGGAGTTCCGAAATAAGCTATGTCTAATAATAGCGTATCTTCTTGGCTGCGATTGTAAATAATGGATGCAATAGTTCCAATTAATTATAATAATTAAACTATATAGAAAACTCCGTATATCACTTTACCTTGCGAGACATTTTATACTCTCGCGATTCACACGCACTTAGACCTTCCTTACTTGTTTTTATATAATTTGGTCCTTAATGGTAAATTTTTCAAATATATCTGGGTTTCAATGTCTGACAGTTAGCTCAAATTTCTAAAGCTGTCAATAAAGCTTCAATATTACAAACATTTTTTGCATATTTCTTAAATTTATAGTTCGCATCACCAAGGTGTTCCACACAAGAAAGGACCTACAAAGTATACGCCTTTTCTAAATGCAATTTTTATTAGTAATTTGTACACGACCTAAAACACTCGAAGGTATATGAAAATAGATAAAATAAAACACTTTTTTTAAGGATAAACATTTTTTTTCGACCGCTTATAAAAGAATAGCACATATTGAACGACTATAACAATAGAGGTTATATCAATAAAAAATATACTACTGTTTTGTACACTGAGCAGTCTTGTGCTGTGGGAGGAGTTCATAAATTATGTAACCAATGCGGATCATTTCGGTTATAAAATAAAAAAAAGAGATTTTTTTTTGTCAAATATTTCCGATGATATATGCATATATTAGGTTTTGGGCTATGAATTTTAAAAAACAAATTTTAGAAGCCCAATCAATTTCTCGAGTTATAGTCACATTTATTTATAATTTTTCCATGCGTTATGCCAAACTAAATGATGTTTAGCATGTTTGATTGAAACTCTTAATTTTCGTTTCATTATGTTTGTCATACTGCAGAAGAAATTAGTAAAGAATTAGCAAGATTTTAAATCTAAAATTGGTTGATATTTGTGTAATTACGAGGTTTACAGTTTTTTGAGTCAATATCGTAGTTTCTAGCGCTTGTAAAACTTTTAGTTTTTCACTCACACAAAAAAATATGTAAATATTATTGTTTAATATAACAGAACCCATTTACTTGTTTCGAATTCATTTTCAAAGTAATATATATAATATTATATGAAAATAATATATATATATTATATATACAAGGCTTTATGTAGCATTTATAAAGCAAATATTTTATTATAAATTTAAAATACATTTCTAATAACTCCGCACGTTTTTAAAAATAATTTTTTTATATGAAAAAGAATCAGCTTTTAATATACCGACGGGGACTGTTTTTATAATTTCGACATTCACTTTGAACGAAACATAGACTTACCGTAAATTTGTAATAATTTTTATTTGTTGTTTAATTTTATTATTGTTTTTAAATTTTTTCTTTATTTATTTATATTTTTTTTATTATATTTTTTTTATTATATGTAAATATTTTACTTTAAATAAAAATTTTCTGCCCGTCGTAAAAAGAATTTTTTGGTTAAAAATATTCTGTTTTTAGTTTGCCGTATATTTGCAATAATATTTATTTCTATATTTTCACTCGAACTGCTGGTAGAACTATAATATTTTTCATTTGTAATTAAATTAAATTATCATTTTTAAGATCTTATAAATATTTTTTTAAGTTTTTATTATTATTTTGTTTTTTATTTTTATATTATTAGTAAGTATTTTAATATGAATTTAAATTTTTGTTATGAATATCATGCTTTAATTTACCGACGGATTTTTACAAAAGCATTTGTTTTTATTTTTACGAAATTAACTTCGGACTGATCACAGACTTACAGTAGAATTGAAATAATTTTTATGTGTCAATTGTTTAGTTAAAGCATTATTATTTTCTTAAATTTTAAAAATTACTTTTAATTTTTTTATTCTTTTTTTTTTTAAATATCACTTTTTTATTTTATTATTTATTTATTTATTTTTGTTAAATTATCACTTTTCAACTGTCCCATAACATAAATAAATTAACGATTTATTTTCGCTTTTTAAATAATAATTAACTCTAAACTAGTTTGCTTACTTAAAATGTAAACTCAGATTTTCAATTGTTTAAACCCATATGTAATTTGGTTAATGGTTGTAAATGTACTAATCGTCTGGCGATTGATGACTTGATCTGTAGCGCTGTGAAAGTATCAAACTGCAATTAAGCAGTACATAAGATGTTACGATTTAAAAGTGCTAAATAAGAATTCTCCAGCAAATGCATATACATGCATACTTATTTCTGCAACTGCATACATATGTACATAAGTTTATATGTAAGTATGTAGATACATAGTATGTAATATGCCTTCGTTTGCATTTTCGCTATAGCCTACAATTAAATATGCAATATATATAGCTACAAACATATATACTTGTACTTACATATTTGTGCATTTATGGTATATAATTGTTGTTCACATAGTTACTCGACAGTCGAATACTGTTTTGTTATTGGTTGTTACTTTCGCGAAAATAACAACACGAAACTGCCTGCCCTTAAATGTGCCCTACATTCTGTTACATCAATTGGTCATTTGCGAAAATTCTAAAATCAGTTGCTAAAGCGATAAATGCACAAACATGCAATCAGCCAAACGGCGACTGATAAGCTTTAAAGATTATATATGCGCATAGTTGATTATTAATGTTTTAAAGTGTTTAAGTATATTCTAATATTTAAATCTTACGGAACATAAATTTATTGCAAGCAAACAGTAGAGAAATGTTAGCTTCGGTTCAAACCGAGCTTTAAGCTTGTAATCTGCCCATAGCATATTTCCATTCTTATAGCTTTAAATTTTACTAGGTGTTGGGGTTAAAAATTTTTTAAGTCGTCTTCGGACGGCAGATCAATTTTTTATAAATTCATTCAGAGTTATAACACGTATCCAAGTTTTGACTTGCCGAGAGCTGATCGCTGCAGAAACACATCTTTTTTACCTTTTTGCTGCGCCTGGGATTTTCTGAGATCAGTGACGCATTCAAGCATCTTTTTTGTGCGGTCTTTGTAACAGATTCAGATCTTTTGGCAGGCGTCTAGCATTGACACGCGTCATACATAAAACATTAACCAAATTGTGTTGAGTCCATCAATGTGGTAGTAGACCTCTTCTGCTATCTCTCAGATGCCAATACAACGATTTTCAAGCACTATTTCTTTTACTATTTTATTTGTCATTAACAGAGAAGAATGGTTGACTTGCATAAGGCAAGTTTTCGACGAATTCACAACTTTCACTGAATGCCTTGTGCCACTCAAACACTTTTGTACGCGATAAAAAAAAGTCTCTTCATAATGATTCTGCTACATTTTCAGCCATTCCGTAACGGTTATTCCATTGGAAACACAAAATTTTCAGCAAACGCGTTGCTAAATTTTTTTCTATGGTAAATACCGCCAGACAAACCTTTCGCATCAAACACAACCAAAAACTCACCAATTAACATATGGAGATCAAACTACACAAGAACATAAGAAAAAGTTTTTACCAATTTAGGAAAAAAAAATTATCGATTCGGTTTATCGCGCGCAGTTTAAATGGACCTGTCCAAGCCAATTTTGATCAGATGGTAAATACTCAACACAATATACTATAGAAGCACAAATAGACATATTTTTTTGGTGGTGTGATGGTTAGTTATAAATCACAGTTCCGAACAAAATAAAATAGATTCTCTATAGCGATCATGTCAGGCATCCCAGTGAGTGTCTTCAACATAAAAAGCTTCCTCCACCAATTTGTCGTTTACGGAGCGCTTGTAGAACTCTCCATTTATCTATATTTTATTTATGATCTTAAGTGTTAGCTTTTTTGCCTGGTATACTTTTATAGAAATTTTAGGATAAAGGGGGAAAAATAAGACCTACTTAGGTGTTAAAAAACCTTTCTGACAATTATAGTATTGATATATAAGTTCCTGAGAATGAAATCCATCTCGAATTCAGTGCAATGACTGATTTTCTTTTTATAAAATTCTTCTTTGAACTGACAGACAGACTGAAAATTTTGCATCGTTTTAACGAAAAACACTTCTTGGCCAAATTCGGTTTTATTGTTCAACATAGGTGCCTTCGAGGGTACCCAATTTTACAATCTTCCAACTTTTAGATTTCTTTTTTGTGGTATGACTGGTCTTCTGCTTCAAAATAGGCTAGATCCGGAGAACACCGTGAATGAGTCAGCAACAAGGTACTCGTATATTTAGTGTGAAACTTAAAAGGAGACTTTATAAACTATATGTATAAATGATCAGCTGATCATAAGTGACGAGCTGAGTCGGTTTAGCATTGTCTGTCTGTCTGTATATACACGCACTAGTCTCTCAGTTTTTGAGATATCGATCTGAAATTATGCACATATCCTTTTCTCAACAAGAAGATTCATTTGTCGATACCGCCGACCCTTATCAAGTTCTTGTTAGGAAAACTTTTTTATTTGACAAGACATCTTCACGAAATTTGGCATATAAAATTGTCAATACAGTGCTACAAATCCGAATAAATTGTTCAGTTTAGACCACAGGAGTAAAACGTTAAGAAGGGTATTATAGTCCACTGGTTTCATCGTCTTCGGTTCTAATATGGCCTGCACAGAATTTAGAAAACCACTTATAAATAAGTACTGACATTGAGCTCGAATAATACTCACCAAGTTAGTTTTTGGTATCAGCCACAGTTTTTTTTTTTTAAGTAGTTTCATTAACTTATGAGCATATAATCGAATTTCTTGTAACTTTTTTATGTCAAAATACCAAAAGTTGGGTCAGTCAAAATACTATATCTCACGAATTAATTGTCGGACAGCTCTGAAATACCTTTAACCTTAAATGCCTGACTTTGCATAAGCACCTCGATGTTGTAACAACAATTGAACTAAACAAGCTACGGTAGGCTGGTAATATTATTCGCGCCAACGAAAACTATCCTCCTAAGTAAAATATCCTAAGCAGATGCAGAAATAAGTATGAGTAGATGCAGACCAAAACTTAGATGGATCGATGGTGTGGACCAGGACGCTGAACTCATGCAAGGGACAGAAATAATTGGAGAATTAAATTGCAGCAAGCGTAGACCTGCACCAGGTTGTGGTGCTTATAATGATGGTGTTTTTTGAAGGCTCTTCTCAAAGAAACAACAAAAACTATTCAGACTGCTTGCTATATATGAAGAAAAATATCTCTGCATCCCTGAACATGGTTGCTTATATTGTAATTGTTTAAATGCGGTGAGTTTATTTCTCAAATATCACTCTCATAGAAAAACTTTACCTTTTAAAAGCCAAAATACTTTTTAACTGCATGCTGCGGTTGGTTAAAAAAATAGTGCAATCAGAAGTAATAAGTTGCGGTGCGGAGTGGAAAATAACAGACCTGATAAAGATTTTAGTTGATTGAAATTATATTTACTAGGAATTTACTACAGATATGTATGGTAATTACATTTATTTTTACGAAAGATTAGACTTTTAAGAAATACTAATTGTATGACATAATATACTAATTTATTATAAATTTTAATTTATATTTTTTCCTATTTTATTCTTCAAGCTTAATTATGTTATGTATTGACATTTTATTTAGTATATGTATAATTTATGACATATGTTATTTACTTTTATTTAATTGAAGAAAATAGTAAATTTAAAGTAGATTACATTATTTTTAGTTTGCAGTATTCGATTTGGATTTTTTTGGCATGATTTTTTAATTGTTACTACTACTACACTACTACTGCAGTAACTATGCTTGACAGCACCCAACTCCAGGTGTTCGCGTTGTGTGGACCTGAAATGGGTTTTGACTTCAAATGGAAAAAACTTTTAATGAATATAAATGAAAAATTTTGAAGATGAACTTTACCGGAAAGCAAGTTTGTGGAGATGTTTTAAATTATGCCGATCTAAAATATAATAAGTAGGTAGATAGAGGTCCATCCGTTGGAATCATTGGCTGTAAATGATATGAAGTTATTCGAGAGACTGAAAATAAATATGAAGTTAATGTAGCTGCAAGATGTTAGATTGATGGACCGATTAAGTTTGGAAATGCCATATCATTATTTTATAAACCTTAAAATACTTCTGAAGCGAAGCTGTTTTTATCGTTTAAACCAGGATGCAGCGTCCTTATTAACTTACTGAATAAGGGGTTGAAGAAAAATTATAACTCTATACATACATATTACTAAATAGACTACTTTACTGAACTTTACATATTTATAAATGATTAGCGTGACGAGCAGAACCGATTTAACCATGTTTTCGTTTATATGTGAACTAGTCCCTCAGTTTTTGAAATATCGATTAAACATTTTTTTTATCCTTTTCTCCTCACTTATCGGAACCGCCAATATCGGACCACTACAGCATATAGCAGTTATATATACTGATCGATCAAAACCGAGTTCTTGTATCTTCTTTATTTGACTAATTATCTTCCCGAAATTCAGCATAGATCATTTTCAAGGCAACGCTACAATCTCCGAACATATCGTTCTAATCAGATCCCTATAGCATATAGCTGCCATACAAACTGACCGATCAAAATCAAGTTAAAGATCTTATTAGACGCTTTTATGTCAGAACCATTTAGATTCAGACGTTTGAAAAACTGTTAGAAAAACTTTTTCTATGCTTTTTAAACTTATAATTATGTGCAGATCATCAATGCATATATAAAAATGGTCGGGATTAATAATAATTATTATTTAAATTATGGAAAGAAATGTGAATGACGTAGCTATATGTATGTATGTAAGCAATAAGATGTGCAGTTAATTCCTTAGTGCATTTCTGCACTGTTTGCGCTCTCAAATTCGGCATCGGCAGCTGGGCCATGGGTGACGCGATATTCTACAGCTACAACATTCATTCTGCATAGAAAATACTACACGAGTAAAATTTAGCTGATTGCTACTTTTGCAAAACTGATTGTGTAAGCACTATTCCTCTGTACGAGTACATAAGAGTTTATTTCAGCACTTTCAGTATTATTACAAATGCATACATACACACACTTTCATATATACTTACATATGTTCATACATACTTATGTATGTATATTTGCAAGTTTGAATATTTGACTCAGATTTTTAATATACATATTTAATGCACAAACTAAGGTTATTTCTTGAGATAATCAGCGTTTATTCAATGCTGAAATGGAAAAATCTTTCTTCGCACTAAAAAATCTAAAAAAATTTCTTATATGTGTCTATATTGTTCTTTTATTTAGCCTTTAAGTGTGCGATTAAGGTCCGTTTAAAAAAATGTCAGTTAGCTGGAAATAACTACGGCAATGCTGAATTCTCGATGCCCTGCAACTATAAATTGAGTTTAACTTTATTTCTAGACGAACGAACTGTTCGTGATGTGTTTAATGATATGAAAGAATTGGGTGTAACGGAGTTCACCTTGATAGCTCAACATATGCCAATTTTTATCAAACTGTAATGGGCACACCAAATCTGACTGTCCAAAAAAACGCAAACAAAAATATTTGGGAATTAAAACAAAATACTGCACATATTTTAGGAAAATACAGTAACATTTTTGTGGAAGAAAATTAAATAATTTTAAAGTTACCCGCGATCTCCGACTGCGGTAAAAAAGATCCTCCAATACAGCAATGATTACGTTCTTCTTTGTGGATGAAACTTAAAAAACAATTCTCTGCTAGAAGATACTATAGGTACAATAATTTACGTTCAAAAAAATTTAAAAATAAAAACTTGAATTTTACAAAACGTGCTGGTCGTTTTTGGCCTGTCAAAATTCGATTTTTGTTCAGATCAAAAAGTTGGTAGGCCATGAAAAAATTCTATAATGATCGGATCATTTGTCTCCGAGTAATCACTCAAGCGAGTTTGAAAAATGTGAATTTGAGAGCTGTAACTCAAAAACTATTTGAGATATCAATTTAAAGTTATTTAATTTAGTATATTATTTTTAAAGGTATAACCTGTCAAAATATGAAACAGTTTTTTTGACACACTAGATGGGCCCATTAAGTGTTTACGCTTAGGGTAGGTTAGGTTTTGACCCTGATATCCGTGACGGAGATCATGAAGATCACATTCGGGCAGTTAAATAGCCCTACCTTTGCGATACCGAAAATGCCAAGATATAGCTCAAAATACGGCTAACACATGGGTTGAAAAGTCCCGGGCCTCACACAGAGATGGCGCTAGTTTTATTGAATTCATCTTATTTTCAGTTAGTACTAACCTTCATAAGACAGCTGTTAAAATTTCATGACATTCTATTCATTAGCTTGCGACTTATTGTGCTGAAAGTGACGCTACTCTTGTTATTTTAAAAACAATGGATGATAAACAATTTCGTGTTTTAATTTTAAACTGCTTCTTGATGGGAAAAAATACCATTCAAGCGAAGCAATAGCTTGATAAGTGCTATGAAGATTCCGCACCATCAGAAACCACAATAAAACTTTGGTGTGTTGACTTCAAACGTGGTCGTAGAGACACCAATGATGCAAGACAATGAATGAAGAGGTTATTACTGCAGGCAAAAGACAAATCGTTCTACAAAAGTGGTATTGAAATGTTGGAGCGGCGCTAGAATGATTGTGTTGCTCTTGATGGAGATTGTTTTGATGAATAAAGCAAATTTTGAACAAAAAAAAACGTGTTTATTTGTTAGGCCCATGACTTTTCAGCCCATCTGTTAATTTTGTGTTGGAAGTTATGACATCCAAGTTATTTCATCTTAATCTAGTAAAAGCAAGACAGTCGAAAACAAAGTGTAGAAACATTTACATAGCCAATGTGGTCCGACGTACAATTCTTTTTCAGTGATAGATACCTCAAATTGCCTAAATATATCACGTGTCAGAGCTAGACACAAAAATGTTCCAGTCAATAGAGAGTTGACTGTTGTAAATTATGTACCTATTTGTCATAAGATTTGCCTATAGTTCGTATTTTAATAGGAATTGATATTATTATTATTACTGATTCCTATTTAGATTGTATAAGACTAAAACTCCATTATTTTAGCGATGAAAGAAGAATCCCAGTAAATATAGCATTTTATGGAATTATGTCAAGGTGACAGACCTTGAGCACTGCCGTGATGCTTAGAGAATAGGGTTTCTCATTATATAAACCTCATTGTCTGTTCAAATATATATATTTAGTTGTATGATGATGGGGTATAGCTTGATAATTCGAATTCAGGATTATGAAGAAAATTTTAAAGAGTCTACAATGAAAATGATATGTACGCAGAAAGCGTACATATATATGTAGGTATGTGTATGCGTATATATGTTTGGGGTAGGAGTATCGCTTAGTTCCTATTTTTATACACACTTGTACAATATTACGGAGCAAATTTTCAGCTGCTGCAAAAACACATCTCAAAGATGCTTTGATTGTACGTGGCTTATACAATAACAAAGTATAATATTGCAAGTGCGTCCCTATTTTATATGTATTTTATTGAATATTGTATATACATGTACGATTCAATAGATATGTATGATATCCTCATATATACGTGCATACTTAAATATATATTCTTATACATACACACAAACATATTTATACCATATATATATATATATATATATATATATATATATAGTATATAGCAATTACTAAGCAATTGTATATTTTTTTCATACATATTTAATACCATTACTCTGTGTTCAACTATTACAAATGCCGAGTAATCTTGATTTTATAGACCTTAAAATTAAATATATACTTTTAGTTCATAATTAGTTGTAATAAATTAGAAATATATAAAACTAATATTTTTATTTAATTATTTTACTTAACTAACCAACTTTAGTGTAATGTGGTATATGATCTCTGCAATTCGCTAGTACTATTTTGCGGTACATTGTTGTCTCTGGATGTGGACGTCATCATAGTTTCAACCCGTTGACTAGTTTCGCGCATTACGCCACTAAAATCTGGCAATTCTGGCAAATCCAATGTTAAATGTGCAGAGAAACGCTTGTAAACGGAGTTACTAGTTGAATCCTTCTTAGACTTGTTTTTTAGTTCACCATACTTTAGTTGTTGTTTAAGAAATATTGAGGTTTTTATCATTTCTTGTATATTTTTGAAAATAGCCTCAGAATGTTCCACACCTTTAACGGCGCTAAATGGGGTTTTAAAGTATTTTATAAATATATATTTTTTTTAAATAAAGTTTTTTTTTATGCATACCCAACCGCGTATTCCATGTCATAGCAATGCCCTTGTAAATTCGTTTGTAACTGCATAACTTCCGTCCTTTTATCTGAAATTGGCTGTAGCACCTTCCTTACATGTTCCTGTATGCGAAAGAATGCCAATGATGGGTCATTGGCTACAATATGTATGTTTTCGCATATTTTTTCGGAAGCTATAGAATATGAAAGTATATTACTATGATTTACACTTAAAAAAAGTAAAACTTTACTCACTTTTCTTGGTTTTGAATGCTAAATCCGCGTCCTGTGGAGTCATATCGTGTTATTAATGTTGTATATTCGAATTGGAATCTAAATTTATAAACAAAGCTTTAGATAATCAATATTGAAACAGCTGTAATTTGTATATGTAAATACAAATGTATCGATAACTCATACAAACGGTGTTGTGCTCATTTTTATGTACAAATCATACGCCAGCAAATGTTAAAATTATTCACATAGCCAATAAAAACTTGTAATTAATCTAATATTGCGCTCCGAAAATTAATTTTTTACATGTAATAGAAAATATGGCAGGAATTTGCAAAAAAAAAAATTGATTGAAATAACTAAAAATCTACTCGCAGGATACTTCGTTCACTATTTTAAGTTATCGATTAATTGTTTTCATCGCAACATCATCTGCTATTTATTGAATAAAAGAAATTGGGTTTCAGCTTCTGTTTACCTAACTAACTAAAAACTCAGTTTCGTGACTGAAAATGTTGCGCAGCTTGTGTAGTCGTTTGGAGCCACACAGGTAAGTTGCAGCCAATTTGATTTCCTTTTTGGCAAACTTATTATAACTACAGGAATCTTTTCCAGCTTGGTGTGTGCCTTCACGCGTGGAATGTCGGCATATCCGCCACATTATATTGAAGCAATATTCTCGAAAAAGAAGCAGCTGAACCTTAAAGAAACCAATGAGTACATCAAGTTGTCACATATGCCAATTAAAGCAGCGCGAAATGATGAATCTGAATCGATATTTTACAACGAATTGGTAAACAAAATGGTGAATTATATAACAAAAGGTGGCAATAAGAAGCTAGCCAGAGAATTGTTAACCAAATCATTTGAATGTATGAAGCGCGTCCAGATCGAGCGCATGAACTTGAATCCTGATGTCAAAAACACGATAATTGCCGATCCGGAACAATTGTTGATTAAGGCAATTGAAAATAGCCGGCCACTCTTACAGTTGACCGCAATCAAACGCGGCGGCGTCAAATATCAAGTGCCCATCCCAGTGACTGAAAAACGATCATATTTTCTAGCTATGAAATGGATACTGGAAGCAGCCAGAGAAAAGGAGCGAAAAGTGCATTTACCAGAAAAGTTGGCATGGGAAGTATTAGATGCGGCTTACAATCAAGGACGTGTGGTGAAAAAGAAGAATGATCTGCATCGACAATGCGAAGCTAATCGCGCTTATGCTCATTACAGATGGAGTTAAAAAGTTGTTTGTTGAGTAGTATTATAACAAAATGTGGTGCTTTATGTAAAACACAAAATAAAATAACAAAATTTATGAATATGTATGTTTACGGAATTTTTGTGATAACCGCGAGAAATAATTGTTTTTCCCTGTTCCATTATGTGAGACTCGATTGCGATGAGAATGGAATCAAATAGTTACAAGAGGGTATTTTTTTATATATAAATACTTGCTGGTAAATTTTTGCTGTTGTTTTAGACAACGAATACTTGTATCCTCAAACAAGATAACGTTAACTTCGTTTACACGAAAAATATAATATACTTCAAAAATAAAAAAGTTTCCACACAAGAACTTGATTTTGATCGGTCAGTTTGTATGACAGCTATATGTCATATCTGAATAATTTGTTCGGAGCTGGTATCGTTTCTTTGAATATAATTTCGTAAAGATATCTCGTCGAATAAAAAGTTTTCCATACCAAAACTTGATTTTTAATATTCAGTTCGTATGGCAGCTATACGATATAGTGATAAGATATCAGCGGTTCCGACGAATGAGCAGTTCGTTCCCACGACAGTCGGGTCTACGTAACCGGAACGAACAACAACAACAATGACAGACAAACAGATGGATATGGATAAATCGACTCAGCTCGTCACGCTGACCAATACATATATTCTATATGGTCTCCGACTCTTACAAACTTCGTGGCAAACTTAATATAATATAATATTATAAAAATATTATCGTTACGAAAAACTACAAAGTTTATATAATTTTCTTTTATTTATTAATTTCACACTACGTATAAATTATACAGTAATACGCATGAAATGTTTTTTTTTATTTAATTTTTTCTTTTTTTATGTAAAGAATATTAAGTTAAATGAAAACGTGAGCCGACGCCATCATTCACAAATCGGATGGCGTAATACAGACACGATTATCATTAAATACAATACATTTGGATACCAAGAAATCGACTATTAATAAATATATTTACATTAGACGCAGGCATAAAGAGTGCCGGACTTAATTCAGCCGGCTACTTAATGCATTGGCTAAGCCCGTTTCGAATTTAACTAAAATTGTTGTTAACTTATCTTACAGAATTTCGCACACAATTTTTTGTTTTTCTTATTTTTAGCACCCGTCTTACACACACACCAATACTATAAATAATATGTATACAATACGAAAAAGAAACATACTTTTTGGCGCATATGCAATATTTAGCGCATACTTGACATATTACCCAGATGAAACATTTTGGACAATTTTTTCAACTTTTTGTTTGTTTTGTTTTAGTGGTGAAATATACTTATATGTATTACTAACAAAACACGTTGTGAAACGGACCGCCAGTTAAAATAAATTTGTTATATTTGCTTCAACAAAACTGCCTTTCAGCCAGACATGGTCGGCTTGTTTATTGGTTGCTCCATCTCATTTTCAAATATTGAACACTTATGTGTGTATGTATTATATATATGTATATATATATACATGTACGTACTTCTAAAATATATTTTTATATTTTTCCATGTAATTATAAAAATATATTCGTTTGTTTCGCAGGTTTTTCTTTAATTTTTCTCTTTTTACTTTAAACTAGAAATAATATCTGGCCTGAAGATTTGTTGTTTTCTTTTGTTTTTAATTTTATTACACGTTATACAGCACACGTTTATGTTTTTTGTGGTTTTTATTTTAATTTTTTGAAATTACATTTTTTATTTTGCTATTTTTCGTCCTCATTACTTTTTTGTTTTTATTGAGATCATTAATTACATATACAGGTTCTATATATTATACGTTTGTTTGTATGCTTGTGCTGTAGCGCTGTTATTTTCGATTTCATGTTGAGCTTGCGCTATGCTTCTTAACTTTTGAATATATGCAAAAAATCGTCATATTCAAATGCTTCGTAGCGCTTTATTTATATGCGTGCATACGTTTTTGGTGTATATGTATGTTTGTATTGTTGCTTGTTTGTTAAAGACAATATGTCATAATTTATAAAAGCTGTATGATTTTAAGTAATAATTTTTACTTTTTCTTATATTTATATATTTATAGTGTGTTTGTATGTATAAACTTAGCAAACATGATTACGTTTTTTATTATCAATTTAACTAAAACTCGCTTTTACACTAATGAAACAACCTAATTGTTTTGTAGCAACAAAATTACGCATTTGTGGTTTGTAAATATAATTTTTTTTTTTTTTTTCAAATTGCATTGTTAAATAATTCACATTTAAGTAAAAGAAAAAACAAAAACGCTTGTATTATTTGTATTCGATTTAAATAAGTTAACTCATACTTTTCTCTATTTTTCGTGTGACAAAACTAAATCCAACCATTTTCGTTCGCTATACACAATTTGAATGAATTATGTAAAGTAAAAAATAAAATCCACAATTAGAATTAATTATGCAACGCAAAAAATACGATCCACATTACGCATACATATTTTGTTTGTATGTGCTTTTCAAATGCAAATATATACATATGCATGTTTTGTAATGTTTTATAAGAACAAATTAAATAGCTATGTGTAATAATTACTATTATTTAAATGTATTTTTTGTATATAATTCTCGCACATGTACCATGTATAATTATATACTTATTTATATACATATGTATCGCATAGATGAGAAATGCCTTAAGTGTCTAAGAAATAAAATTACGTAGAACAATAATGATGATTTATGTATGTATATAGGGCTAATCGTCTATATGAAGAGCGTAAAATTACTCGTAAACTTGCTAAAAATGAAATTGTATTTTGTATAATATTATAAAAATATGCCTACGTAAGTATAATACCAGTGCATTTTTGTTGTTGTCTATTATAAAAATTGTATAATTATTTAATATTAGCAATAGACCTATATATCCGACAATCTACAGAAAAAAAAATATATATATGCAAATCAACTAATGAATGTCTTTATCATTATACCATTATCAGCATGAAACATCATCGACATCATCTTGATCGTCATTCTCATCATACACGTTAATATAATTATTATAATATTAAATATTCGACGAATTCGGACTTTGTGGCAGTGTCTGTGGTACTTTATACAACGCGAAAGCATCGTAAATTTGTAAAAGTTCGCTTAAACGATATTCCTCCAAACAAACGATGCCTTGCAAATTTGGTGATAGCTTACGTGCACAGGCCATACAGTGCACAACGTGACGCTTCTCTTGTTCTCGTATAAATAAAATGTTAAAAACTTCAACCTGCAAGGTAAGAGAAGATACAGAATTAGTAAACTAAATGATTAAAAGGAAAAATATATAAAAAGTATTTTTCATACTAATAAATATTAATAAAAAAGATATAAAATAATTTAATAATAAAAATTTAAAAAAAGGTAAACGAAAATTTATATTTATTAATACCACACATATTGATGATCAGGATTGCAAATCATGCATCAAGATTATGAAAACATTTTTTTCTTTTGTAATCCTGAAAATTTACTTTAAAAAATTTTCAAATTGCCAATTACAAATATCGATCAGAAAATTAAGAATTCATTTTTTATCCCAAAAACCAGATTGATATAAAAAAAATTGAATTCCAAAAATCTTATTAAAAAAAATGTTTATTCAAAGCAAGGTTGCAAATAATTCATTAAAAAAATTATTGAATTAACATTCCAACTAAAATTTTCTAATCCCAAATACGGGATTAAAATTTTTTTATTCAGATTGAAATTTTTTATTTTTATTTTTCACATCGGTAGATGGATCCGGTATGTCGGATTAAATCTTTTTTTATTTTTTAATCCAGTATTCAGGATAAATAAAAAATTTTAATAGCACATACCAGATTAAAAAAAATAAAATTTTTAATCCCAAAAACCGAACCAACTGCCGGATTGAAAAATAAAAAAGTAAAATTTTAATCTGAAGCATATAATTAAGCATAAAAAAAATTTGCTTTAAAATTCACATTTTTTCGGGATCCCGAACAACGGGATTAAAAATGGAAATCTACTTAAAATTAATAATTTTAAATTAAAAATTCGCAACCCTGATCGGAAGTTTATAACTAATAATTAAAAGAGACATTGTTTTGGAATTTAAATTTTTTTTGGGTTTGCGTACTTCGTACTTTGTCTTTTTTTCAGTTCTTAGTTCTGGTTTTATAATCGGAATTAAAACTTCCAAAATAAAACCGCGAATAGTTTTTATTTAAAAACTACGCAGAACTGATAATATCTGTATCACAAAATCTTTGCGCGAAAACGCACTTGGCTTAAAAATTTTAATTTCAAATAAATCAATTAAATTACCTAACCTAAAAAATTAACTATTATAACCACTTGGTAGGCGATCGAATAACAGCTCAATCTTCAAACAACGATTAAGGCTAAATATATACAAATATTTGTTGGTCTGCCATCAAATGTACACTATCCAGCAGTGAACATATCGGATTTAGCAAGACCCATGTGCAATCTCATAATTTTCCGTCAGAGGGGCAATCAGAGTGCTACTAAAGTGTTCACTCCAAAGTATATCCGCGGATGTGGAGAAACAAATAGCTAGTATAACTTAAAACGAGTGGTGTGACATTTACCTCGCATTGTCCACAATAATGTGAGGCTTCATTTTTTCCACGCCCATGAAAGCGCACTTCCACGCCTTTCGATTTTACATACTCCAAGGTGTGCACAACATTTTTCAGTGTCTGCAGCAGACACATTCTGTAAATTCAGAAGATTGAGATGTTTATTATAAACATTAAAGTAGTTGAAGAGTGTTACACATATTCAAATATATTTAATTTTTATAATGTAAAAAATGATAAAAATTTTACTTACTTGACAAGTTCAAACAGTTTTGGGTCTGAAACTTTGATATTTCTAGCGAGATTCCAACTGAGATGCACCATGGGCACAATACTTTTGAAGTTTTGCAGTTTATTCCATTCATAACGTTCAATCGCTAGGGAATATTGTCGCGCTGTCAGTGGGCCCACATTCCATGCTATATTATTGCACCAACCAACTGACTGCACCCAATGAACACAACTGCAATGGGAGTGGATAATTTATTTTATTATTATTATCTATAATTTAACAACAAACTAAGTCAATTGATGATTTTTATCAGATAACTCAATCTCTACACAACTTTTTTCAGTAGAACGAAAGTTAGTATGTGATTTGTGTTTAACATCATTTGAGCAGACAACATAAATTAACAAAAAATTAGAAGTATCAATTAAGTGTTGCTGTGCTTAACTTACCCTGCATTGACCCAAACCAAGTCGCCCGGCCGTTGTATGAATCGATAAACTGGTATATTCTCCTTATATAAGTCTTCTAACACCGGCCACCATGAACCGTGCAAATAGCTGATATTATTTTTTTCGCACAGATTATGTATGCCACCCCAATAGGCATCGGGCACGGCAAACCATTCACAATCGCCCGGACCAATATTTATATTTATCGAGCAGAAATTGTTATTCTCTTGATGACCCGGTGTACGACTACCCGGCACTTTCATGTATAATTGCACAGTATTCATACCCAAAATGACATGACCGACATGTGACAACATATTGGCTGCCGATATGACGCGCGCAAATGCCGGCAGTTTTTGCAATTCAGCAAGCTGTGAACGCCATTTTCGTTCATCCGACAGATCTACATTGGTGCCAAATCTGGAAATGCAAAATATACATGTTTAAAAACGCTAAACGCTTCTGGCTAAACAACAAAAAAAAAATATATATATATATTCCCATATTTTGAATTGTCGCGAGCCCTACTATCAAACGCCGTTCATTCATTAATTTTTAAAAACGGTGTTAGCGAAAGGCCCTGCTTTGTTTTAGCACTTTAATGAATAATATTGACTATTAGTAACGTCAATACTAGATTAATAAGTGCAAATGTTTGGTTTTTTAATTTTCGCATAATTTTTTATTTCATTACCTCAACATTTTGTTGCCATTTTTAAGCTTTTTCCGCTTGCCACTAACATTGGAATTGCTCACAGAATCTTTAGAATCCGAATCAGACATTGTTGGTACGCCAGCTGGTCCTTTATCATGTTCATCCTGTAAAGGCAATAACATATTTTTCATAATTTAATTGCAAAACATTAAAATTGCCATTCAAATGTGTTAGCAAATGCTTTAAAATATTATATTTAATTTTAATGCATAATCAGATATTTAATTATCATCAACATTCTTTACTATGTAGAACGAAAGTTATAAAATAAATGTGATCATCACATAAGAATTAGTAAAACTTAATAAGAGCAAAATACAAAAGATGCTGCTACATACCTTTAAACTGTCTTGAAAGCTGGATGCCTGATATTGCGCATATTTCGCAATAGTCGTGTGCGATCGGTGTGATATGCATGCCCACACACGTTTTGCTTGCGACGCGTCCCAGTTTTCATCCGGTGACTGATGCACTTGTGTGCGCACCTCAACACTATGATCGGGATTGGCTTCGACGAGCGTTTTAGTGGAGAATAGACCCAAGTCTAATTTAAGTGCACCAGCCAAGCCACGCACCACAGCTATCGGATGTTTTAGGCAGAACTCTTGCAATTGCGGACTGAAGGCGTGTTTCTTATTCTCCAAATGTACGGATGGTGTGGGCGGCAGTAGTTGTTCGCGGGTAAGACGTTGTGGCGGGCAATCTGGCGGCGAAGGCGGTGGCGCATTTATATGTAATACGGAACAATGAGGCGGTGGTTCTTCGAGTGAGAGATTTTTAACAGCTGCAATCAGTTGTTTCGAATCCATTTGTATGCTAAATTTCGAAGGCTCTTCAAGGTCATCATCGTATTTATCGTCGTATTCATCATCACGCAGGTTTTCCGATTTTATATCGGCGTTTTCTTGCGCACCAGCTTCTTCTTTTACGGCGCCAACAGTTTCTGTACTGTTAGTTTCACCTGTTGGTTGCTGGCCACTGACGACGGATGTGCGTGTATTGCTTTTATCGACGGTGCTTAAATTCTTTTCGAGGCCATTGAATAAATCCTCAGAAGTACCGTCTATATCTTCTTCCTTAATATCTAGATTATCAGGGTTAAATGTCTTTAAAAGATCTTCAGCAAACGTAGAGGTTAAACCTTTTTGTGAGAGAAACACCTGCAGCTCTTGATCGCTGACACCTAAATAAAAGAAAACAATATATGCACTTATGAGATTTATAATACACTATATGAATATATGATATATATTTCCGCACTAAATAACTACTATGCAAATATATCGATTGTAGTATCGACTTTAGCGATTATGCTTCGTGGCAACAAAATTAAAGCTAAATATATAAATTTGTTGGTCTTCTATCAAATATGCACTATCAATAGTGCACATATAGGATTTAGTAAGACCCATGTGCAATCTCATAATTTTCCGTCAGAGGGGCAATCAGAGTGCTACTAAAGTGTTCACTCCAAAGTATATCTGCGGAGATTTTTATAAATTAATATTAACCTATTAAAACATATTTATTTGCAATTTTTTTATTCATTAGAATATAAAATATCAGAATATAAAAATTAAAAAAAAAATTATTTAAAACCTCTGAAAAATCAAATATTTACCAAAAAACTTAAAAAAAAAATTAATTTATTGTATTTTAAAAATTATAATTTAAATAAGCATACACAAAAGAGAATATATATGCAAGTATGCATGCGTGGATGTATGTGGAAACACGTGTTCGAGAACCTATTCAATATATACGGTGCACTTACCCAACTGATCATTACTCGGTGACAACTGCGTCAGCACACTAGATTCAATTGTTGACGTAGATGGCTTTGGCACTACTGCTTTCGTTTGCTCATCAAGCGTTCCGGCGTATGCGGGAGGCGCATTCGTACTCGACGTTGCCCCCGTCGCTTCAGTAATACTTCCGGGCGTTAACGAAGATGACGGTGTGGAGTGTATGGGTTGTCCTGTCGCCGGTTGCAGCGACGGTGATTGTAATTGTGCTTGTACATTTTGTGGCAATTGACACGTGTTCTGCTGTCTCATTGCTTGTTGATATTGTTGCATAAGGCGATATTGACTGCAGAGTTGTTGGAACAACGCCTGCTCTTGATGATTAAGCGTGCTTTGGTTTTGTTGCAAAAATTGTAAAGTTTGTAGCTGTTGCTGTGAAAGGAAGAAAGCCGGTTGCGCTGGGCGATTGCCGGACTCGGTTTGTTGGAGGGCCTCATCTTTGAAACGCTTTGTTGGTACATTATTTATATTCTGATGTGTGTGTGGATATGGTGGTGGTGGGCCCTGAATTACCTTAAATTATATTCAAAAATATTCGTTTGATTAATTAGTTTTTTATATAGAAAAATAAATTTAAGGTGCAAATATTTTCCCAAAATTTGTAAAACCACTGGAAGTGGTATCTTCACGAACCTTTCACTTAACCTGACAAAATTGAAATGGAGGAAATGAACACGTTTCCTACGCGACATTGCCAACAATTTTTCGCATTTTACTATTGTGGCGTTGCCACAAAATTATTATTTTTGACAGGGTTTCCACGTTTTAATAAATATTTATAAATATGGCAAATAAGGTTGCAAACTTTATAAATTTTGTTATGTAAATTAATATAATTTTATGTAAATTTTTATAAACAATTTGAATACATTTAATTTATGAAATACAGTTGTTATTGAACTTTTAAATAAACTATTTACAAACATTTAAAAACAAAAAAATAATAATTATAGGACCCACCATTTTTGTATAGTATTAAGAAAAATCACAACAATAAAAATACCGGCAGAGAAATAAATCTAAATACCTAAAATCATGCAGGTGTACCCAATTCTTAATATTGTTAAAGGCAATGCTCTGACAAAATTTTGAAATGTAAGTACTATTGCTGTAATTTCATTTATTAGCATTGGAAACAATAAGATAATAATTATTACTACAACTGCATTCCGAACACTAAGCAACACTTTCTCAATAAACAGTAGCCAAACGTTTAAATTTCTTTAAAAAGCCTAAATCGCAAACAATTAGATTTACTATACGAATAATTGCATAAGCTAACTTACCGAACCGTGAGCACTTTTGCCATATTGACGTTGCTGCACTTGCGTAGCTTGTTGATGTTGTTGCCGCGAACTCATTTCCAATGAAATTGGTAAATTCCACGCTTCTTCAATAGAACAAAGTTGTCTTCTTTTTGAAGTTATACTTGGCATAGGCGCTTGGGCTAACTGAGTTTCTAAAAATTTTATACGTTGAGACAATCCTTTACCCAAACCATGACACTCTCGTGAAGTTAAATTTCCTGTCGTACGGAGTTTAAGATTTAAATTTCCGGCTTTATTATCGGTAACTGTAGCCTTTGGTTGCGTATTCTGTAACGAATATTAGAAATTAAAATATATTATTTATCACTAAATATAAAAAAAAAA